CAAGTCTTATATAGGATGGAAAGAATGATCTTCCTCAGACTGAAAAATTTTTTTCACTACGTCACATTAAGACTTATTTATCTAATAAGCAGTATAAGAGCTCAAGGCCAAGCACAGCTCATCCCAGCTCCCTGCTCGTTTTATCTAACACTTTGAAGAAGTTTCTCTTCCAAATGATGCTGTGGAAGGAAAGCCGTGCAGTGCCTTTTTCAGCAGTGCCTGTCACTGGTCTGGGGTTGCGGGATTTGCATCAGTGGAAGGAACTTTCTCAGTTTGATTTTAATTAGAAATCAGGTGGTAAAACTGGGGAAAAGATTTGTAAAGATCTGAAGTGTCTGAAGAGGAGCGGCTTGAATAACACTGTATTAGTCATGAGGCAAGGAAGGAAGAATGTTGTCATGATTTGAAAGTAACATTGTTCAGTAAACGAAGATGTGTGAAGCACTTGCTAAACTAAATTAGTTCCAAGGTTTGGTGCACATTTGTGTAATTCTGTTCATTGAAGCTTTGAACAATTGTGAAGGAAAAACCAGAAACACATCTATTAAGAAAAAAATGCTTTAATTGCTTTCTGGTGGTGTTTATCTGCAGCGATTCAGCTGCTATTTTTCATATTTCAGACAGAATAATTAATCGGCACAAATAAATAAATACAAATAATACAGTGTCATTCTACTCTGAATTTTATCTTGTGGTGCCGATCTAATGAAGATTTTGCTTTCCCTCACACAAACAGAAATTGTAGAGACATTTTAGAACCTTGTGTCTCCTAAATTTTCTACAGAGGCTGTTCCTCAATAGATGACCTTTGTCTAATGCATGGATTTGGTGTGCAGAAAGGGTAAATCTTGTGGTTTGAGTGTCCCCTGTAGAACATCCTTGAATAAGTGTAGCCATATACTTTTTATTGTATTATCTTGTGATTCATTTTTCTAAGAGTTGGTGCTCCCACCTCTTTGTGGGGAGGAAGAATACTGTCTGCACTCTCAGGTCATGTTCTCAACTCTTCTAATGCACCTCTGACATTTAGCTGTCTATCCGGGATCTTTACCTTTGTGCCATTATACTTGTTGCTGTCTTACTCAGTTAAGGAGTACAAATAGCCCCAGTATTGCCAGCTGCAGTCCCAGGCTGGATCATTACTCCAGATTTGAGGTTAATCAACTGCAAATTCCATTAGCTTCATACAGAGTGAAAATAAAGAACAGACGGTCTCGCATGCGAGCCAGAAGTCAGGTGCAGCACAATACGGCCAGCCTTCAGGTAGAGGGATTTTTTCCCTTCAGCTAACATCTCTGAGATAAGACCAAAGGATCAGATCAAAAAAGACTTTCATTAAAGTTTTACAGACTCCTATCCTTTTTTTCCCCCCCCCTCCTTTTCTCTCCACTTCTAATTGCAAATGTTAGTCCCTCATTTGATTCTTGTGGGAGTTTTACCCTTTTTCTCCTGAACACCATGGAAAGTCATTGCAAAGACTTATATTCTCAGACACCTTATGTTCTTTACCTACTTGTTGAATGTGCCAGCAACTTGCTTTATTGCTCAAGGAAGTGCTGTGTGAAGTTTGGCGGTGGGATATAGGGGCAGTTCACTGTTGAAGACCCATTTACCGATATCCCAAACTTGAAAATGCTGACATAGGCATGCACCTTGTGAGCTCTGTCCTTGATTTCAATAGGACTCACAATATCAAAGCTAGACACACAGGAAAGCAGTAGCAGAAACCAGGCCTAGACGCTTCCCTGCTGCTTTTATTCTGTGCACTGTCTCCCCCCGCACCCCTCAGATAGTGTTTTTGCTTGTCATTGGTGGTTTTCTCATGAGTCCCTTTAAAAATCTGTTTAGTCTTCCTCTGCTTTTTGCATGTACTGCAAACATTCAATATTTATAGAATTTTTTTTTAAAAAGGAAGTAATCTGCAGTTGTCTGAAAATATTGCCCCTGATATACCCCAATTCTCTAAAGCAAAAGCTTTCCTATCAAATGGAAAGAACTGTAGGAAAGTCAAGTCTGTGGCCAGAAACTGAGATACTGCTGCACGTGGAGTGTATGGCATTTTCCAGACTGAATTCTGAAAATTTACATTAGCACAGTGTTTGCCAAACAACATGAATTTTGTGTGCTGTGGCTTTTCCCTTTTCTTTGCATCTTTATCTCTTCACCCAGTTTTGGTGGGGAAGGGAGGTGTCTGTGTGTATGTGTGTGTATGTCTCCCTATATACATATGTTAGATTATCACTGGCATGCCATTACTAAAGGTTAGGGAAAATATTGCTGCCAACAGAACTAAAGATTAAATAATCCAATCTCTGGGAACTGTAAACTAACAATCACTATCACAAATGGGCCCTTTCTAATCATAGTTTGTGGTGGAATGAAAGATGCAATTGTCTGGAATTGATGAATATGGGATCCATGCTGGCTTCAGGGTCAAAGGTGACTTCATGCAAAGGTCCCTTTCTCTCTGGCACTGCTTCCTTTGTATAGCATAGCTTGGCAGCTATCTCTTTGCACTTCGGCTACCTGCCAATGCAGCTGGTACTGTGCAACTGTCTGGTACAGACTACAAAGCATCACTCAGCAACCAGCAGCTCCGCATGGGGCCCCTTTTCTAGGATGACAAAGAAAGATGGGCTATACATTCTGCCATCTATGCCCATTAAAAAGACTCTTAAATTGCATTGCTACAAGTTATTGTTAATTATGTAGTAGTCACTGGATCTGTATGATCCTTTTAGGGGTTGATAATCTCTACTGTATGCTGGCAGTATAAGTAATCAAGAGGGAAAAATCAGTATTTTGTTGTGTAAAAAGTAAGTACTAATGTGGTAAATTGCTCATGCATAGCCATATGAATGAAACCTTCATTTAGATCATGTACGCCACAGGTTTGTGGCATATGCAGGAAAAAAACTGATTGAACTAGACAAATTACTTGTGAAGTTGTATCCTTATAGTTTCAATATTCATGTTACAGTTAACTTGGGAAGTGTTTTTGTTGGTAAGAATTTATCCTGAGAGCTTGCTGGTTGTTAAAATGTGCCTTCAGCTGCAACTGAGAAGGAAGAAAACAAAGTTCTGGCTACATTAAAATAAACAATTTCAGTTTAGAAACCATGAAACTAACTGGTGTTTAAACGATGGGATTCTGATAATGGAAGTGGCATCACTGGCAGCCTGACAGGACACTGAGTATCTTGAATACTTTTTTCCCTGCAGTAGTGCATTTTCTTCCTGTTCTTAAGAAATTACTTGTAGCGTGTCCAACAAAAGGAAAATCTTTGTCCCTCCTATAGCTGAGGTCCTGGTTGTCTCCTGAGGAATGGCCAAGCTACTTCAGTTCTTCAGTTCAGGCTTGATGAAATGTACTGCAACTAAATCTGCAGGCCCGATTCCAGTGGATATTTTCCAACTCTTGTAAGTCCATCCGTGTTAACATGAAACTGGAATAGCTAATTTGGGGCAAGCAAGATTGGATTCACCTTCAGTAAGATGTATAGGTGACTTACTGCATAGATCCAAGTTACTTCATCTTAAATACCTTGGGCCAAATGCTTAGCTCCTGTCAACTGGCATAGCTCCACTGAAGTTAATGGAGATGTACCAATTTAACCCTCCTAAATTTTCTGGGTCTTGTTTTCCCTAAGATTTCAGGGAAAATTCTATAAAGAAAATAGTGGGACTTGTTTACTCATTACTGGGGTTTTTCCCCTTTTCTTTTTTCCTGCTTTCTCTGCACTATTTATGATCTTGCACTTGCCTCCTGTAGAGCTGGCAGGCGTCCTAAGATGTACACCAAATTCTGGGAAGGAAACACCATTTCTGTATAGTACCACTGTGAGAGCTAGTCTGTTGAACCACTTTTATTTCCTCTTTTGTTCAAATTACACAAAAATCTGAGAGATACAAGATACAACAGGAGGAGATGAGAACCTTCAGTCTTCAGTTTCTCTCTTTCCTCCTTGCATCTAATATTCCTTTTCTTGCCTTGTTCTGATATTGGCTATTTGAAATAGTTATATATAATTTAACATTATACAAAAGTATTGTCATATCAAACATAGTGAAATGGATTCCAAAAACACCATCTGGTATTTGGGAATGCACTGTGAGTTGGGAACGTGAGAAGAGATATTCTTTGCCACTTTGCTTGGGACCCAGCCATTAGCAGTGTAATTGCCAAGAAAAGGTGACAGGCTTCAGGCTTAATGCAAGTGGTTTTTTTTTTTTTTTTTTTCCTCCCTCTCTTCCCCAGCCTGTTAACTCTATGAGTCCTAAACTAAATGCAAAAGGCACCGTAAGGGCAACGCAATGGAAAAAAAAAACAAAAACAAAACAAAAAAAAAACAATAGGCTCCCTTAAATTAAAAGGCAGGGTAGAAAATGAAAACAGTCACTGGGCTCCTATAAGAAGACTAGAATAAGTGAAAACAAAATAAGCTTGTTGAGAGGAGGAAAGAAAACAAGACATGTATGCTTTAAAGCTGCAGTGTACTACACAGAATTGTTCTCTTAAGTAGTGGATTTGTAATGATTAGAGTTTCCTAAGCTTTATCCAAAAGCTCATTTCAAAGCCATCATTAGTCTCCTCTAATCCACCCAAAATTGCAAAATGCATATTGTGAAGGTCATCCATGACCGTTCTAAACCTGGTTTATTTGATGTTATCTCACTTCTTCCTCTGTATCTCCTTCTATCCCTTTAAGGATGGGGGGGGGTGGGAAGAGAGAGGGTTTAATAAATTAAAATCTCAGATTGATTTCTATGGGAATATTATTCTGATGTGTAAGAATCCAAAGGGCATACATAGTACAGTTTATATAATTTCGTGTCGCTAGCCTGTATGCTACCATTGGCAGGTGTAATTCTAACAAGTTTTGCCAATATTTCTCACCTGAGAACCAGATCAAACACAAGGGAAGTAAAAAATCGGAGATATTTGAACAAGGATCAAAGTCTCTGTATTACATACAGAAAGGCAAATAAACTTTGCAGCAAGGGATGAAAACAAGTGAATGACACAGAAACATTTTAATCTTTATTGATTTCCATCTAACATTTGAAATACAGCCTTATATTAATTCTGAACTTAGAAAAAGGCCACACTGGTTTGTTTCGGTATGTCAGAAACTGCGATGCTACAATAGATCTGCTATTAAATTACACAAAATAAAATGATTTCTGGTGGGTGTATCTAATGCTTGCCAAATTAGATGAAATGAAAGCTAACCCTCTTAGTCTAGCTGTTGTTTTTAAATATTTATGTCTTTAACAGACATTTGTGTGTGCCATGAGGGGGACTAGAAACTCCTTTGCTATCAGTCAGTTTATGTAGACATGCAAAATTCTTACAATCTCAGTACCAGACTTGCACAAAACGTTCGTCACCGCAAGTTCTTTCAATTTATTTGAAATAAACTTGCCGATTCACCACACTGACGTTTTGGCTCCCGTTACTTATTTATTTACTGCGATTGCATTTCGCTGCAAATGAGTTCTGTATGCAAAATTTAGTCTACAAGGTGTAGCGCAGATTTTCAGCAAGGAGTTCAACCCTTCGGCTCAGAAAAGGTGGTGGCAGTCCCATGGGTGCCAGATTGCTCGAGGGACTGAGAGAGAAGCTGCGAGCCCAGGACTTGCCCTCTCCGCCGGCGACCAGCCGTTGTGAAACTTTGCCCTGAAACAAACACCAGAGAGCCGAGCCTCACCATGCATGTGAGCGGGAAAATAAGTCAAACATCACAAAAGGATCTTTCTGTTCTTTACGAGAGCTTGGGACTGGGGTGCAATTTTACCCCAGCCCTGTTCGACCTGACCTTCAGTGCTGTTTGCTTTCTAAAAGGCAGTGATGGTCTCTGATATGTCTCTCATTTAGTACCAGGTTTCTTGCTTTGAAGCGTGTCGATCGAGGCAGTCCCCGATGCACTTAGTGTCCCAAACCCTCCTGACTAATAACCCAACCCAGGCAGCTCAGAAGAAAGATAAAGTTCTGATTTCTATCTTGCAGAAACAAACACTCTTTTCAGGCGAAATCACTCTCCAACAGAGAGTGTTGTATTCTGAGTTTTGTTCGGTACCTGCTGCTCCAACAGCGCTGGCTTTGGAAGCGCAGTTCTGCTTGGGATGGGGCGGTGAGGGACGCGCCCCACGTGTAGAAGCCCACAAGTTTTGTGTGTGCAGAAATCGAGGCCACTCGATCAGTTCAGAGCCAGAGGGACAGACCACATGTGGGATTTCTGATTCCCATTCAAAGAATCAAGAAACACAAACAAAAGTGTTTTGCTATTTAATTTCTGAAGGGACATATGAAAACTTCCATACAAGAGATAAAGACCTGCAATAAAAATGAAATATGATAATACTTTTTGCATTGCAGTTTCTCCTATAGCAGAAATTGCACAGATTCTCTCCTTTTTGACTGTGTTTTTGTTTGACCTTTGGCCATTGAATAACCTAATATTTATAGAATGTATATTTCATTTAACAACTTTGAATCAACAAATCTACAGTAACAAAGAATCTGTATCTTCATTCAGTAAGTTAATATTACAAAAGTGCATTTTAAGCCTCTGTTGAGCAGCCACAGCCTCTGTGAACCAAAACCTGCTGCTGTGATTAATAGCAGCAATACTTTCACCCAGCACAATCCACTCCCCGTTTGTCCCCGCTGCACAACGCCGGGCACCTCGGGGACTCCCGGGGGTGTGCGCAAGCCGGAGCATCCCGCGCCCGGCTGCATCCCCGGGCCCTGCCGCCACCAGCCAGGGATCTGGGTCCAGGCACACGGGCACTTTCTTGGGTGGTAAACCACCAACTCCAGCAGATATAGCTTTTTATCACCTTAACAGGAATGTGCCACCTACAGCAACGTGGAATTATTAGATTTTTCTCATCATTTTTTTCCTTCTGCATGGAGGGTTTTGCCTGTCTTTCCCTTCCCCTCCTATGCCAGCCTGGGGTTTTGTTTTGCTCTCCGGTGACATGATGACAAACTGCAAATGAATAATCAGAAATACTTAGAATTAAAATGGCAAAAATATTATTAGTTGCTGGCCCCCCACCCCTACTCCCGCACCACTCTCCCGTTTTCCCCTCCCTCCTCTTTTGACAGGAGGCAGAAAATGCAGATGCCAAGGCAGCGGAAGATATTTTTAAGCAGGAGCATCTGGCTCCTTGGCAGACTCCACAGGCAGTTGGTTTGGTTGTTTTGGAGTTGCCTCTGGGTCTGTCACATGTTTTGGCATCTGACTGATTGTCTGGGCTGCCTCCTCTTATTGGACATATTTTTTCTTTGACTCACCTTTGATTCTGAATTGTCTCTTTATTTTCGTTTGCCAGTGAACAGCAACTTCAGCTGATCCTGAGTTTGTTTATGTAGAAATAGTCCCCGGCACTCCCCGGCTGTGGCTCACGGGAGCCGTCTCCCCGCCCGGTCGGTGCTACCAGAGGTGCTTGCTGTGAACACTGCTTCCTTGGGATTCGGGTCAGGCTCCGAGCACTCCCTGGTAGGGAAACTATTCCAAGGAGGAGAATTTTCTTGCATCCAAATATACGGCCGAAAGCACTGAGATATTGTTCCTGATATATGCTGTATCTGTGTATGGGGTTTTTTTATATATATATATAAAATTATTATACTGGGGGGAGGATTTGTCTTAAAATAGATTAGTTTTTTAATAGATTTTATACAGAGTATGAAAAGCTACTTGAAATGACAGGTCTGTTCCCCGCCTGGATGCCTGCTGTTTGAAAAAAAAAAAAAAGTTAGATGCTTAGCAATATTTGCTTCTCTGTTTTCTTAGCACGGTAGATCTTGGGCAAAGCTAGTTTTTCACTCAGAAAAAAACTTTTTTCCCCAAACATCACGGCGAGGCAGCCTGGAAGCCTGTCCCTGCGACGCTGCCCCAGCCCGCGGAGCCGACACGGGGATTTTTGCGACTGCCAGGGCAGCGAGGCTGGCAGAAACAGGTGGGCTCACAGCGGGGAGCAGCAGCCAAAGCCCCACCACAAGTTCTGCTGGGATTTTTTTTTTTAGGTGGCTAAACTAAATCTAATTAAACCAGAGCATGTTTAAATGAGCTTCATTTAATGTGCGCTTTGTATAGCTCCTCTATTAATAACAGCAGCTCTTGTTTTTATTATTAGGGCGATCATTTTTCTGTATTTCCCGATATTCCCAGGGATTGAATGGATTGTTTATCGCAAGGGTTGGGGTTGGGTCTGTGTTTCTAAAATGCTGTTGTGGAACTGTCCTGTGAACCAGTCCTTGCTGTGCTCGGGAGGCACTGCAGAGACTCGGAGATGAGATGTAAATCTGTGCTTTCAAGCTGAAATTCTGTAGAGAAAGTGTTTTTCTTTTAAGGAGAAGGAAAATAGAAGGGAGAAAAACGTTTTTAAATACATTTGTAGTTCTTTGAAGGTAACCTCGTAAAAAAAATGATTTTCACTAATCTGACATAAAGAAGGCATCGTGTAACTTATATGTTGTAGAACTTCTATATTCTTAATTACACCAAATCAAACTCATTCAGGAAAAAGGGTAGGGAAAACCATAATATAACATTTTAAAACAAAAGCTCCCAGTATGTGTCTTTCATTGGAGTTGAAGTATTACCTAAAACGGAAAGCTTGTCTCTCACTGACCTATAATTTTTGCCTCAGTCACGTCCTTGTTTGGAAGCCCTGTGTATATTATCACTGTAAATAGTAAGGATGTCAGAGGCTAGGGAGTTGGCACATATGAAATAAAGCTATTCATTCCCAGGACAGGACATTTTGGGCAGCTAAGTCCTTGTCTCTTCCTCCTACCTGTATGCAGCACGGAACTGCAGAGTAGCTCCGCAGTTAGTCTCCAGGTACTTGGAGTTCACAAAGATGACTAGAAAGATTTTAAAACATGAGAGAAACTCATGTTGGCAGCTCATATTTGCAGATCTTTTTGTGTGTATGTGGAAGGGAAAAAATATTTTCAAACTAATTTTAATTCCTAAACAAGTGACTGAGGGAGCAGGCAGAAAAAAAACACATATGTGAACAAACACGCTTGCAGGCACACACACCTTACATAAAATTACTTTTACCATCTTATCCTGAGTCTTGGCATGTCTGATTCCAGGAAAAGCTTTGGACTCCACATCTGTACAAGAACATTAGTAAACATTTGCACTGAACACAATATCACATACAAATTAAAATAAGTTTCCAGCTCTCATATTTGCAAGAAGAAGCCTGTGAGTACAATAAATGCCTGTGCTCTGAAATCTTAAAAAGAAAATTACAATAAAAGTAGCAAACCCCCCAATCTGTACTGTGTTTTTAAAGTCATCTTGGTATTCTAGGGAATGTGCATCATAAATTTTGAATAGATGGGATTAGCAATATCATGAAGGGGAATCCCAAAGGACCCATCTCCAACAAGGAAGGAATCTTGTAAAAGACATTCATAATAAATCCTTTCATAGGCCTTGGCACTTGGATGTAACTCCGTAGATTCCCTGTTAGGTTTTCCTATGATGGAAAAAAAACAGGTCCTTCTGGGCTTTTTATTCTGAGGGTCGGTTTTGTGATCCGAAAGCACCATATGGGTGTTTTCACCTTTGTTTTTCAGCACCTGCAGCATTTGGCAGATACATGGCAAAGCAGAAGCAGCGACACAAAATACAGCATTACTGGGAGAGGGAGATGCAATTCTGAACTATCTGTCCTCTTGGGGCAAGCAAATAGCAGAAAGCAGCTACAGTGCTGTGCCAAACTAGTCTGGTGGGACGATGTGGTTACAATAACTAATTTTTAGAATAGCCTTGTTCATGCTACTCTTAAGTCTGTGCAGCCTCCTCCAACAGGAGACTTGATTTTCAAGGGCACAGCTCTAAGAGTCAAAGATTGAAATCTTTGAACAAGAGTTACAGTCTTTGGACATATTGCAGTTAAAATGAGGGGCCTTTTCTGTCCTGCCCGTGAACAGTGAATAGAATAATAGGTAAGTCTTTAGGAGCATAGCGATACTCTTTAGAATCCTTTGGATCTTTTAATACTGTGGACAGCACACAGTCACTGTAGCTGGACAGACATGCTTCTCAAGGAAACAGAGACGCCTTTAGCACTGCTAGCTTGACCTCTTGGCTTCTGGAGAGTCAAGTCAACACACATTTCACACCAAGGTAACTGACTGTATCTCTGTTTAAAAAAATCCTCAGTCAAAATCAAGGTGTTCCAACAAATACTTACCTATTTAGTTGTCAGTGTTGCAATCTTTTAGACTCCAGGAACCCTTCAGAATGGTCCATCTGCCTTGCTGTGTCCTTTTCTGTGGTCTGTTTTACAGCAGCAATGGGTTTTGAGTCTCTACAATACTGAAGGAAGGAAGACTTCAAAATATATTGGGAAAAATAATGAAGTGAGACACTTCTGCTTGGCAGGGAACAGCCGCTTTCAGTTTACCAGTAGAGAAAAAGGGGTTAATTGATTTGCTCAGTATTGAACACTAGCCTATACAAGGCTAAGACTCACTCCATCACCATATCAACCCTTCTGTAGACCCTTAAGCATCTGCAAACATGTTGTAAAAGATGAATGATGATCTCGACTTCTCTTCCTACTTTGCCAAGATCCTTCATGTCATGAACTTTGGTGATTTGAGAAAGGTGGTTCTTCTGTCTTTGTAGCTGAATTAGGAAAGAGATTCATCTGGTTTCTCTCAACTCAAACGAGTAGCAAGGGAAAATATAAAGCTGTTTAGAAATCATTTCTCATCAGGACACAAAGAGCTGGCTAAGGTCTGAACTAGGACAGAACATTATCTCATAAATCCTCTGAAAGCTGCAGCCAGCTATGTTGGTGTCACCAACAGGCTCTGAGCATCTCGATGCTGCTTTGGAGTGCAAGGAGCTAGGTAAAAATCAGCGGCTAAGGAGTCTGAGTTTTGTAAACCTTTTTTCCACTTCAAATTGAAAGGTGCTGCTGCTCCTGATCAAACTTTCCAAACCAAGGACATGGCTTGGCCGCAGTTGAGATGGATTTAGTCTCCCAGAAAAGTTGTTTTCTCTGCTGCCATCTGACACAGGTGGAGCTAGTGCCAATGTGGTGAGCGCAAATAACAGCCAACGTGATGCCGAATATCTTGTGCACAGGCCTATGTAGCTGTGTAATTGCTTGGCATATCTTTGGCCCTTCACTTGTCCCAAGTGATAGGTGCGTGAATGGGTTTATAGGAATAATAATTCTCAAACTTACAGCCAACTCTTTTCCTCCCTCCATTACCCTGCTGGAAAAGATTTCACAGCCGCTTGTGTTCATTGCAGAAGCCCGCAAAAGATGTGAAGTTAATCAGAACTTTGGCTGCCACTCTGCTCCTAGCAGAGGTTTTTGGAGCTGCATTTCTGCATTCAGAGCAATTGAGCTTGCCTCACATTTAAAATGAAGTAAGATAAGAGTTGACCTGTGACAAAGAGAAAATAATGGCTTAAGATCTGGATCATCTGGAACCTAAACCGATCCACGGAAACAAATCCATGGACCAAAAGAAAAAAAAAAAAAAAAAAAAAAAAAGAGGAGAAAATCGAAATCACATATGAACCAGGAATAATTCTCCTCCCACCTTTCAAGGTTCACACAGAAACGTGTGAAATTGAAAGGGCAAACAGTGGTATAAATTTCGCTCACCTGTTGTGGTGCTGAGATTGGTGATACGCTGAGGTTATGGAAACGTATCCTGAGGATTCATTGCAGAGGATAGCAAGGAATATCAGGTGCTTTATGCATGAAGTTTAAATGAATGTTTAACTGTAACTCTGGAACACAAAAGGAAGTTTTACTGTAAAACGTGAGAATGAGTATGCTCTCCTGATGCACTACAGATTCACTTCCAGAGCATCAATGGCTTTTTCTCTGCCTTCTTCATAAAATAGATTATGTTTTCCTTTCCCACTCAGTCTCTTGATAAGGGATTTGTGCCTTGGCATCCTCTCCCAAGTACCAGGAGCCCTTCATAACAAGAGGAGAGCACTGTGCTCCCTTTGCGTTTGCCCTGGGACAAGGCTCTCTCCTTCCATAATAATTCAAGCAAGATGAAGTCAGAAGGTCAGCAAGCTCTGCAAGCCTAAACACTGCTCCGTGGGTTTGGTTTTGTGGGTTTGTGTCTAATCTATGAACTTTACATCACTTAAGTGTAGATTCTCCCTGTGGTTTAGTACAAGCAGCCAAAGGTTGAATTCATACTGTGTTCTCACAGGTGAAACTTTGCTGACTCGTGCCAAGCAATATATTCTGTATGTTCCCAGTTTACATATTAAATCTATGGGGTAGAAGTGGGCAAAAAGTAGGAAATCTCCTATTACTTATGTACAGTGAGAAATAACATTCGGTGGGTGGATATAGTTTCTTAAGGAAACGAGCTGTCTCTCCTTTGAAGGAACATTTAAATGGAAGGGAATAGTTTGAAACATAAACTGAAGTATAAAAATTCACTTCCTGCTTTATTCCAGAAAATATCAGTGATATTCCCCAGACAGGGCATGAATATGTTACCACTGAGTTAAAATCATTTGCACACATAGATTTTAAGCTTGCTGGACTGCAGAATCTGCAGTGAACCATTTGTTCAAATAAATGGAAGAAAAGAATTGAGTTTTTTTCAGGGTGGGGAAGATGCTTTGTAAGCAACCAAGAAGTGTGTTTTGAAAGACGAAGGTGAGGATGAGCAGGGAGTTGTCAGTATTGAGATACCACAATGTAATTTAAAAACAACATTTCTGTTGCAACTCATTGCTGTTTAATATGTGAAAAAATGCTCAGTCTTG